CGGGAGTGTAAATTTGTAAAAGGAAATTTCTTGGATTACTCTTGCTGTTTTTCTACTATACCACAGGCCTACCTCATTGGGAGAGGAACTTCCACCCAGACTGGGCCTTCGTGCTCCTCTAAGGAAAGCCTTACCCGAAAGGACCTCGGCCTTTTTTTTGCAAAACTCAAATTTCGAAGGACTTCAACCCCCCTCGAACAGACAAAGATTACATGTCCATCACCAGTTCCTATGGAATCATTTTTTCTATAATTCAACACTGAGACCTAAACCCAGAGTTACATTAAGCGGGCTACCTGACTTAACTCCTAATCCCTTACAAGGGCCAGGTGGCCTGGTTTCTTGGTTTGCAGTGAGAGGGCCTCAGGGCCTGGACTCCTGGTGCTGAGGGCGGAGGGCCTGGGGGTCTGGATCCTGGTTCTGAGGAAAGAGAGGCTGGGGGCCTTTATCCTGGTTTTAAGGGAGGAGGGGCTGGGGGCCTGGCCCCTTCTTTTTAAGGGGGGGGGGGGGGGGGCCCCCGCCCCCCGGTTTTAAGAAAGGAGAGGCTGGGGGCCTGGACTCCTGGGTCTGAGGGAGGAGGGGCTGGGGGCCTGGGCTCCTGGGTCTGAGGGAGGAGGGGCTGGGGGCCTGGACTCCTGGGTCTGAGGGAGGAGGGGTTGGGGGCCTGGACTGCTGGTCTGAGGGAGGAGGGGATGGGGGTCTGGGCTCCTGGGTCTGAGGGAGGAGGCTGTCCTGGAGCAGGCTCCCCAGCCCCACCCCCCCAGATGTCTGGAACCGTCTTGGAGACCGAAACCCAGTCCCCGCCCTACCTCCTGGGCCCAGTGGTTCCTTCCTCCTTCTCTGGCCACAAAGGCGGCCCCTCCCTCTCTCCAAACGGTAACAAGTGGTTCCCAAATTCCAGGGGGGTCCCACCCTTGTAGGGCTTGCACAGTGAGTCCCCGGGGGAGCCAGGAGGCCCTGCCTGGGAGACGCGCCAGGGGGACCCCGCCTGCCTGCCCAGAAGTCTCCAGGGCGCCTTTCCCTGAGTGAGTTCGGGCCATGGCTCTGAGCTCATCTCTGTCCTCAGACTTGCCGTTAGGGGGGACTGGGCTGGTATGTATTCTCTGGGCCGGGGGGGCGGGGGGAGCCCAGGAACTAGAGAGAATTCTCACCTGGGGCTTCGCAAGCTAAGGTCTCCTGGGTGTCACCCCTAGACCCGCCCCCTGTCTTCCTGCATCCTACCCTCCCAGTGTACCGCCCCCTCCCCCACCTGTAGGGTTTGCTGAAGAATTCCCAGGACCAGGAAGGAGGTCAGACCCCCTGGAAGTGGGAGGGATGGCAGGTTGCTGAGGAAGGGGTGGAGTAAGGTGGCAGCTGGGGTCAGGGAGGTACTCAGCTATTGCTCATTCCCTCATTCAATACAAGGTTCCCGAGACCTCAGTGGTGCCTCGCCCTTTGCCCTCAAAAGCGGGTCCAATTGGGGAACTAGACCCTGTAGGTCCCACAACCCAATTCACAGTGACACGTGCCGGGACCGTGGTGGCTCCGTCATTGTGATTCCCCAGTGAGGCAGTCAAAGAAGCCTTCCCTGCTTAAGTGATAACTGGGAAGGGTTCTGAAGGATGAATAGGAGTTCGCCAAGGCAGATGTGGCAAGGAATGGTATTCGGAACATGGGGAATGGCACGCGGGAAGCCTCGAAGTCCTGCAGCACCAAATTCTTTTTAAAAATATATATATTTTATTGATTTTTACAGAGAGGAAGGGAGAGGGATAAAGAGTTAGAAACATTGATGAGAGAGAAACATCCATCAGCTGCCTCCTGCACACTCCCTACTGGGGATGTGCCTGCAACAAGGTACATGCCCTTGACTGGAATCGAACCTGGGACCCTTCAGTCCGCAGGCTGACGCTCTATCCACCGAGCCAAACTGGCTAGGGCTCAATTTTTTTGTTTTAAAAAAAGTATTTGGATTGATTTCAGAGAGGAAGGGAGAGGGAGGGAGAGAGAGAGAGAAACATCAATGGTGAGACTCCTGCTTGCCCTCTACCCGGGCATGCTCCCTGACCGGGAATCCAACCGTGACCTCCTGGTTCATAGGTCGATGCTCAACCACTGAGCCACGCCGGCTGGGCTGCAGCAGCAAATTCTTAAGCACCTACTGTGTGCCAAGCGCATTCTGAGCGCTGGACAGAGGAAATCCCTGCCCGTGCGTGAGTCAGCCTGTTGGGTGTGGTGGGGAGTTGGAAGAAGGTAAACAGACAGGAATCCACACACACACACACACACACACACACACACACACACACACGCACACACGCACACACACACGAATAAGACTTTCAGAGAGTGCTGAGTGCGAGGGAGGAAAAGAAACGAAGGCGATGAGATGGACGGACGGAGGGCCAGCAGGTGTGGCACATCAAGGGGTGTCCGGGGACGCCTCTGTGAGGGGGGTGGCATGCAAGCTCTGACCTGAATTTGGAGAATGAGAGAGCGTTTCAGGCCCAGGGAACACCTTGGGGACGCGGGGCGGGGGAATCTGCAGGAGGCAGGGCTGCCTGGAGGAGGCGGTCCTGGAGACGTAGCTCTGAGGACCTTCCTGTTGTTGCTCCGAGGGCCACAGCGACAACAGCAGAGTGGCTTTCGGCGCCGCGTGGTGTGGTAAGAGGCCTGGGTCATAAGAGAGCCTAAGAAGCTCCCACTCTGCCT